TCAAAATCATAATGAAATCATAAACTATTTGTAAATAAATAATAAATAAATAGTAAAATATTCTTAAATATTTATTCAATAAATTGTAAATAAATTGTAAAGTTTTATTTAATTTTTATTTGATAAATAGTGAAGTTTTATTTAATAAATAGTAAAGAAATTGTAAAATGTACTATTCGAAATTACAATTAAATTGTAAAATTCTATTAAAGTTCTATTTAATAAATTGAAAAGTTTTATTAAAGTTCTATTCAATAAATTGCAAAGTGTTATTAGTAATTAATATTAAATAGCCTTGAAGAAAAATATATTCTTCATAAACAAACTATTTTTATAATTATGTTCACCCCAGCACATTCTCCGCCCTTACAAATATGAATAAAATGTACATTATTGATTGCATTCACCAAATTGATAGAGAAAACTTTTCGCCAATTACTTGTTATTCGTAACCTGAATATTAGACATTCTAGCATTTTTGATTCATGTCTTCAAACCAATAAACAATAATAAAAGCAAAACGAATGTTATTCTCTTGTTGATGACAAAATATTGTTCTTATGATTGCAAAATTGTCCCTTCTTCAAGATTGACTGATACAACATTCCCGATATGTAAGCGACATATAACAGTATTGTCATTTTCTTTTTCAAATAGGAAACTTGCATATCCAAAGAATGATATTATGCTGTCAAGTATTGCAGAATTGTTTCCTAATCTTCGTAGGTTAACTTTAATTCTGCTTAGAAATTTAACAATAATGATGGTTCAATATCTTTTCGAGAAATCTGTTTCTTTAATGTTATATTAGAAATATGCTCATCTGGAGAGTAAACTTTAGAATAATATGATTCATATTAAATATATATGAGTTAGTATTAAACAAACATAAGGTAGCATTAAATATGCATAAATTAGTATTAAATAAATGTAATAAAATGTTAAATAAATAAAAATATTGTATTAATTTGTATTATACCTTCACTTGCATTATCATTAATATCAACTATATCTTTTGTGATAAACCAGTCACTCATCAACTATTTCAAATGTCTCGAAAAGTTCATAAAGCCATTGTTCAATGTGGAAATCTATAAGTCTATGCCACCGTCTAGTAAATGTCATATTGCAAATAATGTGATGTAATGCTTTAGTAGATCTGGACCTATATTTTTTAGATTCGTTCATAGTACAATACTTTTGAATATTCAGTGTATCATCTCCTTCATTCTAACACTCGTATTCAACAATATTGCATAATTTTTTGTATGCAATAGTAGATAGAAGTTAGCATGCAGGTTCGATAAATTCTCAAAATCTTCAAACGCCTATTTATAAATAAACAAAATAGGTAAGATTAGCTATTTGATATTGTAATAAATATAATAAAAATATTAAATAGATAAAATTATTAAATTATAGTAAAAGAATAAATGAATAGATGCGCAAATGGAATTTTGAGTATACATGCATATATTTGATTGATTGCAATCGTCTACATTTTCATATAATATTATTTTTCATTTCTCCTTTTATTTATATTTTGATTATTATTATTTTCTTTTTTATAATCTATTTGTAATATATATAATAAGTATTTGTTAGTATCAAGATATAATAAACGAATAAAAATATAATAGATAAATAAGTGAATAATCAAACCTTAAAAATAATAGCTTTTTCAAATTTTTTTTGTTTGTAATTTTCCTTTGATTTTGTTATTTACCTATGGTTGCATGTACAATAATTAATATTATAGATCAAATAATATTATCTATGATAAAAGTTTCTGTTTATTATTCAAGCAATCACGTAATTCATCATAGTCTTCTTTTGAAAAGAAATCCTTAAATACCATTACCATCATTTTTGCTACCAATGTCCAACATTTTATCCAGAGTTTTATAGCCTAATAATCCTGAGTAATTCCTATATGACATTGAAACAAATCAAGTTCTGAAATTTAAAATGTGTATGCTTCAAAAATCTTTTTAGAATAAATAAAAATATCATGGTTAATTGTAAACAATCTGACATCATAAAATTGTCAATATGAGATATCAGATTTGGTAGTTTTTGCCAAGATTTTGGTATTCAAAAGACTTCCAAACTATGATAAATTAAATTCAGATTTTCCTTCTGGTAAAAGTGCTTCGATTGTAATCTTAAAAAATCTCAGCACTTTTCCAGCTGTAAGATAATAGACATCTTGTAGTGATTGAAGATGTCTTTCTCTTTTTAATTGATCGAGTATTAGCAGTTGTAATTGTAATTCATGTTCAGTTGCAATTTGCCTGCACTTTGTAATTGTTGATGCTTCAAAAATTTCTTTGAATTGTTTATCTGTATGATGATGATAGCGTGAGATTAAATGCAAATCAATACCATCTGATGTTAAGGAATCTTTGGTTATGCTGCATGTCTAGCATCCTCTATTAGTACTATACTGCTTTACTCTAACCAAATCATTATCTTGTGACAAATTAGCGGTGATATCACCAAGGCATGCAATTACAAGACATTCGTTTCCTTGAATAAGCATAATTTTTTCTTTCTCTAATTCTCTCATTTCTACAATGAATGGTTTAATAAATTCATCAAAAGAACTATCGAAAGGAACAAATCCAAGTGTAAAGTGATTCTTAAGATGTATTCTTTCATTAAAAAGCATGTTTTTGATCTGAATATAAACGCCACCTAATGAGTAATAAACGTTACAAAACATTCTGAAATCATCATAGTATAAGTCAATATATACTTTATAAATTAGAATATTCGTTCTTGGTTCTTCTAATGCTGCGAATTCTGAAGGATGTTTATAAGAGTACTTAACACTTCTTAATTTCTAGCGTCCATTATGCTTGTAAAGAATCTCTCAAATACTGATCGTATTACAAATGACAACATTATCATCATAAAGGATGGTAATTGTTACAGGTTTAACAATATCTTGTAGTTCAATATTAACGATGACATTATCTGTTTCTCAATCTGAAAACCAAATTTTTCCATCTTTAGATCTTTCACTCCAGTTGATGCTTTGTAAATTCTTTGGCAAATCTTTGAATAATAAAACATGTTGGATTTTGATCTTTAATTTATTATCTTGTAGTATGATTACTAGTATACGATCAAACTTTTTCAAGTTTCTAGATTCTCTATATATTATGAAATCACCAGAATAGTATAGTTCTATAAATAACATTTAGTAAATAATTGTCAATAGAAAATAATTTAACTTTTAAATGAAATTTACCATAAGCGACCATTACAGATGATTGTCTGAATCTTGCAGATTCTTTTCAGATATTTCTGTGCTAAAGTTCTTTACTTTTTTCAACCTCTTGACCTGGTCTGAAGTACAATATATTAAATATTGAAGGGTTATTTAGAATATGACGTAAAATATCAGTAATAGATAAGTAATACGTGTTCCCAATATTTTATGAAGTAGATGGCATTTTCTTGTTGGATATATTAATTCAACGAGACTTAATTGGAAGTAAAAATAATCTTTGCTTATACTTTCTAAAGCATCAACTATTTGATACAATATCTTCGCTTTTGAATTGTGGGTGACGAATTATATCTACTAGTTCATTATATGCCTAAGTAGCTGGTAAAAAATTATGGAAAGTTTGTGTTATTGTTTAAAAAGTTTCAAAATAATCTAACTTACATATACAATATTTTTGCATCCAACAAAAAAACAGTGATTCAGTAATATTCTTGAAGTAGGATGCAAATTCACCAGAAGTTTGTGGTATTTGTTCACTATTGAAGAATTTATCGATGATTGTTTCTTCATATAATTCTTCTTCATTTGTTTTATCTTTATTACTACTATCTTCTTCACAACTTTCGTTAAACTCCATCATCATCCTCTCATATTCACTTACTATCTCGTCTTTGCTTGCTTCTTTATTTTTTACATCAAACTCCATATCGTCTTCAATCTCATTTTCTATTCTGATAGTTAGCATTATTTTCTCGTTTTCATCTATTTCAGTTTGATCATTATTTATAGCATCAGATATATCGTTATCATCTAGAAAAATTAAAATATTACTATAAAAACCATTATATATAATATATATTATAATGAAATGCAATAATATTTACCATTTATTATAAAATTTCTTTCATGTAATGTTGAAGATATTTACGAATACACGTTAAATGTGCTATGCCATTGTCTAATATAATTATGTTAAGTATTGTTAGAATATTTATCTCAAAATATTTCTTAAAGAAAAAAAATGTCATGTAATTTTTGAAAAAGAAAACAAAAAATTTTTATAGTTCAATTTGATTTCTTTTATATATTGCTTGAATAATCAATTTTGATATTGTTGATTAATTATTCGGAGGCTACAGATAATGAATAAACTATAAAAATGTTAATTATATTAAATATCAAAATTATATAATTATAACGTTATATTAAAATTAGAAAGATTTTTTTTGTAAAGTATAAAAATAGTTTAATCAAAAGTTAAAATCATTTGATTTTTTTCATGTATTGATGTATTGTTAGAATAATCGATTTATACATTTGATTGTTATCAATCAATCACTTAGAAGGCCAAAGAAGATTAATAAATTATTAAAGAAATATGTTAAATATATTAAATATAAAATATAACATTATATTAAAAATTTAGAAAGCCAAAGATAAATTGATAACATTTTAATCTGAATATATTAATATAAATATACAAATCATTTTGTTTATCAATGAATGTTTCTTATAAAGTCTAAAAAGTCTAATTTATTATACTATAATGATGTAAAAATAGTTTAATATATAGTATGATTTACATAACAATAATATATTTCACTATAATAATACAATAAAGTTTGTTTTGATTTAAAGAGAAACATTTTTTTTCTTACAAACTTTTTATTTCTCTTTATTCGCTACATTTTAAAATTTTACAACTCTTTAAAATTATCTTTATTATACCTCCCAAAAATGCTACTCAAAACCAAAAAATGAAATGGTAATAACTATATCTTAACTGTTATTATAACAAATTGTATATATATATATAAATATCGATAATATCTCTTTAATTTCAAAAGAAAATCAAGAATAAAGAGTGGCTCCAATTAAAGAAATTGCTAAAAAATGAGATCAAAAGAAGAAGAAGCTTGTTATTGAAGATGACAATCAACAAAATGTATTACCAACTCCAAAGACTACTGCTAAACGTAATCGAAAGAATACTATCTGTAATAATAACACAATTCAAGAATCAACTGTTATTAATGAAGATTTGGATGAAGGTTCAGGTGAAGAAGTTAACGTTCAAGAACTAATAGTAACTGCAAATTCTTTGATTAATAACTTCTAGAATTAAGCGATAATGATGATAATCTTTTAGAAGATAATTATTTAAAATAATATTTTAATGACATAATTCAAATTTTATTCACATCTTTCTCGTTTTTACTTTTTAAGATAAAAGTCAGGTTAATGAAAGTGTTATAAATACCAAATGCAAACCTCTCATGTCAATTTCAAATAATAATAGAAACACATTGGATAAAATAATCAGATCTCAATTAAATGTTTATCAAAACACGTTGAATAGATTGGATGGCTCAATTAAAGCATCTGAATCATATTATCATTTACATTTAAATAATACACTTCATTTTTCTCATAATGATCATCTAAATAATACAACTCTTTTCAATTATATACGTATAAGACTTAATGATGATAATAATGTTTTTCAATCAAATGCACCTAATGTATTTCATTCGAATATACCTTTAAATAATAATACTATTGTTCATTCAACTTTTGACCCTGTTAATGATAATATATTTCGTTCAAATAACACTACTTTTCAATCAAATAATACAGAATCTATACCTTTTCGTAAGATGGATAACATTTATCAAGTTTGCTTATGGTTATGTAAGAACCTAATGTCTTACTATTAGCTTATAATATGTACTTGCCAATGCAAGCACCAGTTGCAAATGGATTCAACTTTATTTCAGCAAACTTTAATTCATCCATATTGTCAACTGCAACACTGCATATGCAAGAAGACAAAGTATGGTTTAACAAATGATTTTTTATTTTTTTAAATTATTTTATTAATTGTTAATTAAATTATAAAATACAGGTTAAATCAAATCATGATTTCCTAGAAGAAATTAAATGTTTATTTTTATGATTTCAAGACTCTGAGAAAAATGCTTTTGAAGACCTAGTATGATAAATTTTTGAGTGTAATCTAAACTCGGCTAAAGGTATTGATTAGTTGTGAGTAGCTAATAGAAACTTTGAAGATTTTGCAATAAATTTCTGGATAGTATTGAAGAAAATGTTAATAAAATCAAAGAAAAAAGGGCTAAGTAAGCATTTCTTTCATTTTAATTTCTTTAATTTATTATTCTAGCAATTTTTTTTTGTATAATTTATTTTATTATAGAGATGGAATTTATATATAACTTATCCTTTGCAAAAAGAAATAGTTTCATTAGTAGATGAACATATGATGATAAGCATTTTGCAAAGGTGGTTAAATGCAACAAATATAACTGAATTATAGGCTCAAAATACGATGCACCATTTATGTAAATTGATTATAAATGCCATAATTATTACAAGAGATACTAAAAGAATAAAAACTTTAGATAATATAACAAAAACATAACAGTCCATCCTGAAATAGCAGAAATATCGCCAGCAATTTGAAATTGTGAATCAGGTATTCTATTATTTATTAATTTTATTATTAATGATTTATTTATAATGTTATTAATATATTCATATCATTTTATTATTATAAATAAATATAGCGATATTATTTAATTATAATAGTATAATGTATAATAAACGAATATATAATAGTTTCTAGCATTTGTCACGATAATTATATATATAACAGAAATTTTTATTACCATTTTTTATTTATAATTTTATATTACAATAATAATGAAATTATAGTAAATAATCATAATGAGAGATTTTTTATTAAAAAAAAATGTAATTTATTACAATTAATTACTTAAGAAATTGGTAGATTTATCGTCAAATATTTCTAATACATTGAAAAAAATATTGAAGTTAACTTTTTCTAAAAATTTTTGATGACGTTTACCACATATCTAATAGCATGCTATAACTTCAAAAATATATTTTTTTGATAAATTCACAATCATGTTACAAGTTCGTTTGATACTGCGATGTCACGTGTTATTATTGTAATTTGATAATGATCACTTAACAATATGTTAACAAATTATGAGTTTCTGCAAAAAGCCTTAACACATTGCAAATTACTTTAAATTAAATTTTCTAATTATTAAAATAAAATTTATAGTAAATTGTATTATTTTAATAAAAATCCCAAATTATTAGTTTAACTTTATATATGCTCGAAGTATGTTTATTTTTTCATGCAATTATCCTGATATGAGAATTAACCAGAAAAAATTTTTTTTAAGCTTAGTAGTATGATAGTATAAAATACTATTATAGGTTATAGCTATCTATTTACAAGTTCTGTTCTTGATACCTGATATATTTTCTGTGTAAAGGAAAACTTTTTCAACATTTGCAATAGAGTTAGAATTTATATTAATCAGATCAGGAATGTAGATCTCTAAAACAATAACTTCTTAATTAACTAGTTATTAATTATAATTAATTTAAGAAGTAGATATAATACTTGATTCATTATTAAGAATATAAAGCTTAAAAATACGTAACATTGTTAGTATCATTTTTAATCTCAGCCTCTTTTTTTTTGAATTTCTGCTAATGTTGGTAGTCACATTTTACATTTTAAATATGTCTGTTTCTAGTTCTTAATATTTTGATGATGATAGTTAAAAAATTTTTATACTGGTAGTATTAGTTCCTGCTAAAGCTACAAACCTCTGCCAAAAATTTCTGAATATTTTTTTAATTCAATATAAAACTTAGAATTTTTAAATTTTATTAAAAAATATTTATTAAAACATTTATTAAAGTATGATATACTACATATCTAGTACTAAATAATTAGTATTTAGTCAGACTTTCATTTGTTTTAATCACAGCCTGAATTTACTGCAACATACTATTAACCAAATTTTCAATAGTTTGTATTAGAATTAATTTCTATATCTTTATAATATATTGATCGAGTTAAGCAAGATTGGAAGGTAATTTTTTCCTTTTACAGTTATTCTATTTGACTTCAGCCCATAGATTCTCAATAAGATTGAGATCTGGTCTTTGAGCAGGTTATGAAAATATGCACAGACCATTTTTTACATGAAACTTCTTTGCAAGTTTTATTTTGTAAGAGTAAGCATTATCCTCTTAAAATATATTATCACACTTTGAAAATGCATGCTTCATAGTTAGAATAACATGTTTGTAAAAATTGTGACATATGTAGCACTAGTGACTATTTTAGATAATAGAATAATCAGTCCTAAGTCTTGTCTTGAAAAGTACTTCTAAAACATTCAGCTAGAGCTATATTTTACTGTAATAGAAATACAAAAAATGTTCTATTTTTTATGAAGTTTACACTACACTTGATTACAACAGCTTTGTTGTAATTGTGAAAAGGTAGATTCATCACTTCATATAACCTTTGACCAATCATTCTTTGTCTAAAGTGTCTAATTAATAATGCGAGTTAAAATATCTTGGTTAGTTTTTTTTGCTATAATTGTTATACTTCTGCAGTGCATAAGTGACAATTTTTTCTTTATTATTAGTGATAATTTGCTTAAGTCAGCTTTACCCTAAATCTTTAATTAAGGGTGATTGACTAGAATAAGACTTTAAATTAATAGTTCTAGTATTATCTATTTTTTTTAAAGTATCAAGAACTGTTGACTTTCCATAACTGATATTTGCAATAATATTATTTTGATAATTATCATTATATTGAAGGTAATAAATTATACTACCGCATTGTTTTATTATTAATTCTTTAGACATTTTCATTATTTTAAAAAGATAAAATTTTATTTGATCTAAAATCAAAATAAAGAAACTAAATATATATTTATTTGGTTTGATTCAAGTAAATAATATCTAGAATATTATATAATCATAATTTTATATAATCACATAATATAATCAATACAAAAAAATCCCTAAAAGATAGCATTTAGAGATTTTTAGTAGGAGTCTATATAAATAAATCAATGATATTAGTGAATTATAGTTTTTCTTTAGATAATAAATTATAAATCTCAGAAAGCAAATTGTATAATTTTTTATCAAGAGCTTTTCACATTTGAAGGTTAATATCAAAGAATACTTTATATTGCAACCTGTTAAGAGAATAATATGTTCAAGATGAGTTAGTATGTTGAATTTTAATTTGTGATATCATATTAAAAGTAATAAAACTGATAATAATATGAAAAATAACTATATTAGATCCTTGATCAAGATAGTTTTTTATCCTCTTTACTTATTATCAAATGCTAGGAATAAAAGGTCTTTAGTAGTAGTTCTTCATATTATGATAATTTTTCTAATTATTTTTAGAACTGATAATAGCTTCTTGAGCTTGTAATATGATTGTTAATAATAATTATTATCTTTGATTACATAATTAAATATATTTGATGACTGAAGTTGCAAGTTAAACTTCTGATACGTATTTCCTATGTTATGTTTCATATATTGTATCAACTGCAACAGCAGTTTTTCTAACTCAAAATATTAGTGTCTATATTATTATGAACTAAGATTTCAATAAATATGATAGCAACCTGATTACACTTATTAAATTATTCTTGCAGAGTATATATCATAAGACGCTTTATAAAAAATCTCCAATTATCTCTAATTAATGATTCAATATCATCAAGTACTGATACATATTTTATTTTTGCTATTTCAATACTTTGATACATTTTTATCGATCAGAAAATTGTAAATTTTGCTATTCAATAAGAATATTATTTTCTTTACATTTTTGTCATATAAATCACAAATCTTAATCATGTTCTTATAAGCTTTTTGCAACTTTTTTTTAATTCTTCTATTTTAATTTTTTGATCTTTTAGGCATTGATATATTTGTATAATTTGATTATTAAGGACTATTATTGATTGTGATTTTGCTGAATTTCTAGTTCTAGAAGTCTTTTAACATTATTAAGCTTAATAATTAGATTAGAATGATTATCAGAAATGGTTATATTATTTTCATCAATATTGAATTGGATTTGTTTATTTTCTTGTATAGTACTTATAAGAAATTGGTAAAATTGATTAGCAATAATGATTTGATTATAATATTTTTCACAAATTAAAAAAGACTTTAGAAAAGAATAAATGTTATAAAGTTTAGAAAAATAATTATGGTAAAGTGTGA